TTCACCACACATTGGTAAGCAGCACCGCGGGTCAGGCCAAGATATTCAGCTGATGTTGTTCTACCGTGTCCTGGGTTATTCGACCTGGCGGTCATCAGCATTTTCCGACGGGGAGGGCCGATCTGCCCCAAGAGCCAGGGCAAATTAGCGCAGATCGATTTTGATTATTGCCCTTGGCGGCCTCATCCCCTCGTTGAGATCGGTAGGCCCGTTACGTAAACTTGACAGGCCATTGCAGGCCATCGCGTCTTGCCTACCTACAGATCATGTGCCAGTTCATGCCAACTTTAAGTCTGTGTTTGCTGATCGTCTTGGGCTCCATGACAAAGTCCTTGATCACTCACAGCTTGTATTCGTTCAGTGACATACCTGGTGACACAGCGACGCCCTGATGGACGGCCTCGGGCGAGGCACCAACAAAGCGGAATTACTTCCAGGCCGTCGACAACCAAATTGCGGCAGACAGAAGAAGGAACATGATTTCAGAAAAAGAGAGAGAGAGAGAGAGAGAGAGAGAGAGAGAAAGGAGTTGAACCCCAACCCGGACTGGACATATCTACCTTGAGGCATGGCAGAAACGAGACAACCTTTTATTTCGAACCGACCGCCACCCTCACGAGGATACCAACAGAGAGCTGACCACCTCCAGGGACTTGCACGGCAGCGGCGGCGTCTACGGGACGAGCCCAGACAATTCACGCGTAGGAGCATGATTCAGACAAGCGCGATGGAACCCAGGCTGGCTGCCCAGCAAGGCACCACGTCGCCATGGGCGGAAATAATTCACTCTGGAGGCAGTTGGTCATTAATGGGTTGCTGGTGGCGTTACGAGCTGTTCACCAAGGATTTCCTCAAGGTTATCTACGCTATTGCCTGCTGGAGGAACGAGATATAGTAAGAGGAGCTATAGATATGCATCTGCTGCCGTTCCTTGTGCGGAAGACGCCCAGCATCGACGCCGGGTGCCATCCCCCAAGGGAGGCCTGCAGGATCGGATTCGTGAACTTGTTCCAGGGCGCAGTTGATTACGTCTGCCACCCCGAACAAAACGTCTTGAGGTGCATTCCTTCCTGGCCCCGTTCTCGGATGGCGGGCTGCAGCGAGTTGCCCAGAAGATCCAGCTCCTCTCGAAGTACCTCAAGTCCAGCAAGGGATAACCTCTCCACCGAAGCCCCAAACCCTGGAGTTTTTTCGGGGTGTTGCTACACCCGTGCAGATGGACTTCCAAAAGGTCCCGAGGACTCGGACACGAGCCCCCCCGAAGCCGATCTGAAGCACGCCAGGTATGTTCGTAAGATATGTGCCCATAGAGTGTTTTGTTCTCGCCCCACGCCAGTCGCTTGGCATCCGTCGCATGGTATCGCCGTCAATGTTTGGGCGCTTCGCGAGTGTCGTTTGCCCGTTCTAGAATGTGTCATTGCGTCTGGCATGAGCCCGTGAGAGAAAGACGCGTGGCCTTCTTTGGTCCACGGGTGCGCGGCCCGACGGCGTCGGGGGGCGCCGATGATGGCCCGGCAGAGTTTGCGCTGGCGTCTCAGACGTTGAGGGGCGCGGCAGATTCCTGAGCATAAAGATGCCAGGGGTGTCTTCGGCAGGACCGGCTAGACCCACCTCCATCCGACGGCGTCGCGCTGGGGCCTCGGGAGGCCCTGTTCGGCGAACAGAGGTGCCAAACAGCAGCCGTTGCCTTTTGAAGGCCCTGAGGGGCGCCTGTTCACGAAGCACCACGTTGGAGCTCTACGTGGAGGCCATTTGGCCGTCAGGGCGTTCGCGAGGGACGTCGATGAGGTTTTCAAGGCCGCCAAGAAACGCCGCGCGCAGAGTGGCGACCCCACGTCCGAGGATAATGATAGAACCCGGTCCAGCTGCGCTTGTCGCGCGGCGCCCACGCCGGCAACGCTGCCGAGCCACTTGCGGCGGCTGCCAAGCCTCCAGTGGCCCCGATGGGGTTCAGCAGCGAGTCCATTTCCGTTGCAGCGAGCTGCTGCCCGAGCATCTTCTCGCCCGCGCTTGCCCATTGCATCCGCTGGAGAAAGGGGCGGCGCATGCGCCTCTCGGCCCTGGGGCGCAGGCTGGGCGCCTTAAGTTTCACGGTCGCAGGCCCCCCGCCGCCGGCGCGCTGGGTGACGTTGCCGAGATTTCGGCGGCGTGATCCGCGCCGACTGTGCCTTTCAGCGGCGCAATTCTCGTCGGACTGGCCGCCGTCGGCCCTTGTCGCCGCAGCGTGGGGAGGTGTGGGTATCGAAGGGGCGCCCCTTGCGACGAACGGCGCGCCGCGTTTTCTCTCGAGCATTTGGCCGCCCTGCATCTGGGTCGGAAGCGCGCGCCCGCTGGAGCGCGCGCGAGCGAAATCCAAGCGCGCGACGCATTGCGCGCGACGGGCTATGATCGGGGCTGTCATGTCTGAGAAGGACGCGCATGTTGCGTCTATCCTTGTTATCGGCATGTCATCGTTTGCGGGGGGTGGCACCTCTCGAGCTGGAACTGCGGGCGACGGGGTTAGGTCGCGCCGCGGACTGGTAGTGGGGCCTGAGTTGCAGGTTGCACAGTGGGGGGCGCTGTTTATAGGGTGCGCGACTGGAGCACGCCAGAGAGCGCTGCGTCGTCGCCGGGGGCGCGCGCCCCAGCGAGTTCGCGCGCGCGTGGGCGGAAGAGCGATTGCAGATGTTAGTTATAGGCTGAACTGGGGGGCGATGAGCACTGCGCGGTGCAGTCTTTCGACAGTCAGCCGTTGTTTCTGTTTCGCGCCTGGCGGCGCTGGTAGAGATGGGCATTCCAGCGCGGGCGAGGGGGGGCATGCGACGGGCGGCAGCGTCGGCGGGGGGCCTAGCGGCCATGGCCAAGCTGGAGACCGCGGTGATTGCGCAGGCCGGCAGGGGTGGCCTCAATGGCGGCGGGGGCGGCATCGCTGACGCGCTCGTGACCGTGACGCGCCGGTTCAGCCTTGCCAGGTCGAGGGGCCCCGCCGAGCTCCCGAGCGATGCCTGCGCCTGTCTCCCGACCCCCGCGACCGCGGCTCTCGCGGCCATCGCGCGCATCGCGGGCCAGGGCTGCGCGGCGGACTGCGCGGGGCAGGGCAGCAAGCGCGACGGCGGGCCGCCAGGGCCCCGCGCACTCTTGCCATTCACCACTCGTTTCACAGATGAGGAACATGCCGCGACCCACCCCCGGGCGGCGGCAGTTCTCAAGGTCTATGACAGTCACGCCACCAAGGGCGACAAGGCGGAGACCCTCCGCGCGCCGGCAGACCACGCGAGGCACTGCAGGTTGCGAGCGCGCCATCTCGACAAGGTATCAGGCAAGACGGCGGCGGGCAGCTACAATCTCCAGCGCATGATGAGCGCGCGCTTTCAGAGCCAGTTTGTCACTGCGGGCGGCGCGCCCTCGGCGACGGCGCGCGCGGCTCTCGCCGGCGCGATCGCGTCGCAGGGCGGCAATGCCAAGGCTGGAACAGCTCCAGACTGCGCGCTCGAGAGGGGCGCGGAGAGGCCCCCCAAGTTCGGCGCGTCTCCAGATGTCTCCAGAGGGTATTCGTGATCACTTCGAAGATTGAGCACGGCCCCCGATCGGCTGGCGCGTGCTTTAAATTCTGAGAGAGGATGATCGGGTTGGTTCAAAGAGGACTCCTGCGGCGCCCGCAGCTTGAGACTTCCAGCAGCGCTCGCAAGGCCCCATCCTGATTGGCAAGGCTAGCTCCATTTCAGGCGCTGTATTTATCCAGCTTCTAAAATTCACAGTGGGCCCAATCCAGGCCTCGGAAGAGCTTCGGACGTCAGGGCCTCTGCCGCTGGCTTCGACCCTTCCCCCTCGGCTGCCGATGCGCGCGCCTCGAGTGCACCGCTTGCTTCGCCCCAACCGTCAGCGCTAACGCGTCCAGCGAACCCTGTCCACGGGGAGTTGGTAACGTAACGATGCGGCCCTCTCCGCTGCTTGCTTGCTTTCCCCCCCTTTCACCCTGCGGCTGCGTTGTATGCTGTTCGCTTCTTCTGGCCTCGCGTGGCTCTGTGTGGGCGTGTGTTGTGTAGTTATATGGTGTTATCTTCCTTCTCGCCTGTCTTCGCCCCCTCTTCGTTTCGCGACACCTGAAGTCCGATCTCGTGTTGGGGGGGGGCAGCCCCCTTTTTCTTGTCTTCTCTACCTGTCTCTGGATGCTGGCCTGCTCCCAGATGGTGGGGCTCGCGCGATCGTGGCTGAGAGCGCTGAAGTGAGTCGAGCTGGAAACCCTTTTTCGATTTGCTGATGGCTAGCGGGCAGCTGCCCTTCTACTTCACTAGCGGGCTGGTTTTTCTCATAGATGGATTTTTACATTGGCGTCCACAGTATGTTCGACGTGTCATGTTTTGTTGTCTGTTTTGTTTGATGGCGCCTCGTACATCAGTGATCTGCTTGTCGGCCCGACCGGCTACCAGCCCGTCTCGCTGGTCTCGCACCACTTTTGCTTCGGGGTGCTGCCGTCGCGGGCCCTCGTGAGCGAGGGTTTCGTCTAGGCGCCGCCTCGGCCCGCGCCGACCTCGGCCTTCTCGAGGGCCGTTCCCTCCTCTCACCTCCTCCTCTGCGTACAGGCCCTCGCGGGGGCCAGGTGGTGAAGGTGGGCCCACGCCCGCGGCTTGGCTGGGTCCGAAGGCCGCCGTGGGGGCCCTTCGGACGGAACCAAGCGGTGGGAGTGTAAATTCATGCTGCGCGGTGCGTGCAACTATCGACTTCGCCGACGATGGTCGACGATCGATCGATGTTCCCATGTTTGTCCATCTGTGCGAGCCGTGCAGCAAGTACCGCACGGAATCTCACGCAAGGTCGATCATCATCATTTTCATAAGTATTGTTGATTTTTATTATCAATCTTATTATTCGTAATATTCATATTCGTATTAGTGTGATTCTGATTCGTAGTAGTAGTAGTAGTAGTACTAGTAGTATTAGTAGTAGTAGTAGTAGTAGTAGTAGTAGTAGTAGTAGTAGTAGTAGTAGTAGTAGTAGTAGTAGTAGTAGTAGTAGTAGCA